TATCAAAATAAAAGCACTTTGTCTGTCTGATAATACAAATAAATTTTGGATGACAAAAAGTATCTTGTACATGAAAATTTGAGTATAGAAATTGGGAAATTTTGAAAAAAAAATTAAGGGCGTGGTCCCAAAAAGCTTCTAACCACGCCCTTGCGCGACAATCAAAAATAAATCTGGATTTTTAAATATGTTTTCGTTTTCTATGGTGAAAGATAATCGTGTGTAAACATTGATAACAAACAAAATGCATTTGGCTTGAAATTTTCAGTGCTAATCTAAGTGTGTTCTTCACACTGATAATGGTCTAGGAAATTAGCGGGAGAAATTGACAACATACAATAGCTCTTTCTAGCCGTAAGAATCAAAGTGAAATAATTCACATTTACATACTGTCTGGTAGCCTTACCTTACATTGGTATATCATTGGTAGCCTTTCGCGGCCATACAACAAAACATTAAGTAGCATTTCATTTGAAAAGTTTGATAGGCTATGTTTATGTAATAATGCATAGACACTGTTGAGAAGATGATGTCTATGAGCATCATATAGGTGGCAGGAAAGCAAGTAATGTTCCGTATCCTCCACGCTATCTTTTATACAGCACATTGGCTCAATTGTAGCTTTTAAGGTATATCTAAACTGATGGAGATTTAGTTTGCTTAGACCCATACGTAACTGGGTAAGAGCAGCTAGGCCTTTCGGATCGTGGATACTGAATACTGGTTTAGGATAGGGGCAAATAAATGTAAAAAGCTTACTCTTGAAGGCAGTTATTGTAGGTAACAGTCTAACTTCTGGGGGCGAGTTTGATCCTCACAGACAGATAGCGGGGGTAAAAGCTTGCCTTGTAACGTGCGGTTCCTGCACAGATTTGCCAACTAGGTAGTTTATAAAAAAGAACAACACGCCTACTCCGTCGACGTAGGTCAAGTGATTCTCATCCAATGACTGTAGATTTTTTCACATGATGTTCCTTTCCATGCCCCAGTAATCGCTAATTCAACAGAATCCTGAACCGATTCTAGTTTTCCATATTATTATTTAAAGTAATGTTTAGAATAGATTCAATGGTTTTAAAAAGGATATAATATATGACATCATCATAATCAAGATCTGGTCGAACGTAAAGTTTGTTTAATTCAATAAGAGTTTGTCGGGGCAAGTACTTGGAGAAAAGACGAAGCAAATCTGTCGCTCTTCTGGATTTGGCAATAGCTGTCTGGATATGCCTGGGAAAAAAATCTAAAAAGTCTGTTTTGTGTCTAGAACCAGGGTAATTACGCTTACTAACGTCCTTAACTGGGGTGTCATGGAAAAACCACTGGATGGTTTTCAGGGGTCTTTTTCCTTGGGAAAGTTAATGCAACTGCCTGTTTAGCGGTCCGACTGCCTAAAAGTATCTATGTCGTGATTCATTTCTAGAGCAGCTGCATGTGGGTCATGAACAACTGTCAAAAGCAATGTATCATTTGCAAATAACTTTACACTGCATCTTAGATTTTCAGTCAAATCATTTATGTAATCAAGAAACAAGAGAGGACCCAACATTGAGCCCTGAGGAACACTGGCTTTGATAATTCCCCTGTCGGATATTTTGCCATTCAAAAGTGTTTGTTGCTTATGATTTTCAGATTCTACATTATTGAATTGATATAGGGGCATTTATTTGTTTTTTTTATATTACTGTCTTCGAAGAAATGGGCAATAGGTCTGAGGGCGGCTTATCTAAAAATAGACTCAGATAAGCAAAAACTTTGCATGTGTACCAATTTTCATACTTAAAGTGCACAATTCTTCTACGAAGCCAACCCGCAACCTTATCAATCAAAGGAGATCTCCTGACACATCACATTTATGAAGTTTGAAGATAAGCCCCGCGTGCCACACCTTTTCAAATGCTTTAGGTATGTCAAGGTATACGGAGCGAACATCAAGATTTTTCCAAATATGGGAAGTGCGGATATTGGGCGATAATTTGTTTTCCTTTTTTTTGCACTTTTTTTAGGGACCGGAACAACATGGGCTCGTTTCCAAGTTTCCGGGTCATACAGTGCACTGGAGAATAAAGTATTCGTTAAATATTTGCACCTTAGCAGTATAATCTGGAACAAATATGTCAATTTCTAAGACGGGAGGTATTAACTGGATTTTTATTTTATTAATAACTTTATAATTAAAAACCAATAAGACTTTATACCTGTTGTTGGACTAGCAAGTTGCCTCCCAATTTTCGTGAAATAGTTCGTCTTGGCATCGTCAATCAGCCTTGCAGCTTGGAACATCATATTTTCAATTGCCTCTCGCCTACCCTCTCGTTGACCGTTCTTTATAAATGTTTAATAATAGAGGTATAAGATGCTCCATGAAGCAAAGATAGAAAGAAGCTCTATAAAGTTTCTAGATGTCTATTCTAGATGTATTTCATATAGAATCAAATGAGTGAGCTGTCATATACAGTTTATAAAGTCAACCATTGTCTGCATTAAAAGATAAAAACGTCTAACCAAAGTAAATATAAAAATTCATAAAAGACAGATAGGAATTAAGAAAAAAAGATTTGTTTTAGATACCTGTTAAATCATACTGCAGATCGACTGGGTAAAAATCTAATTAAAACCAATCGTTATGGTATACTGGGTGATTGAATCAATTTTAAAGTCGGTACTCTAGCGCGAACAGCAAGCTGGCCTGAAGCATGTATGGATTTCTATTGGCCAAAGATTTTCTTTTCCAAATTGAGCGTTGGGTACTCAACACCAAGTGCCAGGATAAAAGCTGATGCATATGAAAATGCTGTGATTGCCACAAACTGAAAAGCCTAGAAAGTTAAAGATAAAGATAAATCATGCAGAAAGATAATAATTGTCAATTGTCATAAATAACTTTATATGATTGGAATATCAAATATTTCGAGCCAAGAAAATATCGTGCAGGGAAGGTTTATATAGTCTATTAAAGCAATACCTGTCAGGAGCTTTCTGTCAGGGAACTATCGTTGAAAATTTGACAGTTCATGGAGCTTCATGTATTTTTGTCAATACCGCACACGTAATAAGACTACAAATACTAAAACTCTATCCGAGCAAAATACTATTCACATACCATATCCATATCTGTGTAAGCTCTTGGCGACTGCTTGGTTTGATAGAAAATAATCATGACCAATGGATGTAGAAGGTAAGCTCCGAAAGTCAAGCGACTGAGGGGGATGAATGCACGCCATGACAGAATGCTGTTTACTAGGCCTAGAATTTAATTTAATGATCAAAAAGCCTTTTGCTGAAGGCATTTTATGAAAAAAGCGAGTGTTTTATAGAAATTGATAAAAGTTGATGAATGATGGTTTCTTTAAAAAAAATGGCCTATTTCTGTGCAATTTTCGTTAAAAGTAATATAAGAACTTCGATCTGAAAAGCGGAGATTAACATGCCGCTAACATGTTTGCACAGATACACTTTGCAGAACTTGCACTAAAACTTGGGGACTTTTCCATCTTCAATACTGGAATATTTTGTTCTAAACTTCTAATATTTCTAATAAATCAACACGCGATGGATGTCATAAAATTTTGATTTTATTGTATACATCGAAAACTTCTCAGCCTCCAAGAGTAAATAATGTCCTGACCTTACCTCCAACGCCCGTATGGCAAGCAAAAATCACCCACGAAAGAGCAACTGACCAAGTAAGCCTGGAAAGTGAGCCATATAAAATGTTCTCTGCTTCTGTGAAGGGTTTTCCACCTTTCTTTGTGGTGTCCCATGTTCCATATACAACAGCCATACCACCGCCAATGGCGACTGCCCAGCCAATGACAGCAAACAACTGAAAGATAAGAATAACAGGTAAACCGTTAAGGGAGTATACGTGTATTCAACAAGAGAAGGTTCAAGAAACGCAAGCCGAAAATCTAGTGACAGCACATTTGAGATTCAGAATCAAGGCAGAAGCTGTCACCGTACAGTTGAACTAAAATTCCAAAAATTGCGTTTCTGAAAAAATAAATATGAAATATGACATAAAAAATTCGCAAAAAAGAGAATATCTAGATTTTTTGACATTTTACCTGAAGTACTTTTTCTAATCTTTTCAAAATCTTTCCTCCTGTTATGAACTATGACTATTCGTTGGGTTGAACTACAACTTGTTAACTTTTCAGCAGTTTTGTTAGGTCAGCGGTTTTATTAGGTCAGCGGTTTTGTGTTGTTTGGCCACTTTTTTGTTTTTTTGTAAGCACGTGTGGTAGCCTCCGTTCTTATTGCTTAGTAAAGCCTATTTCTACGGCAATGGCTCGTTAATATTTATTACACCCCCTCAGGTAAAAGATGAAATGTTAGGAGACCAAAAAGATGAAAATACCAATTCAATTACCAAAAATACAAAAATATTTACTTTTGTTGGTGCTACATTTTACAACAGATTCATATACGGAAGAGACACTTAGTCAACATCTGGTGTTGGTGATTCTGCTATTGATGTGACAACATAAAATTGACTAGCATATTATGCAGGTAATTCCTATTTCAAATCAATAATGGCGTAATTGAGCAAAATCCTCACTGGCTTCAATTGCCCTTTAATTTGAACTTTCCTGAACAGCAAATATCCGAGCAGCATTCCTGCAAGGTATGGTATTATTCTGCAGTATGGTTTTATGTAAACAAGATCTTCAAAGGAGGCAGCAGGTTGTCTACGAAAAATGGAAATCATTTAAGCATACAATACTTTCAAAAGTCTTAAATTAAGTGAATAAATTTCGACATACATCATTGAGGCCTATTGAATAACTCTCTCTGAAAGGGGTGGAGTTACAAAGAGCGAGCAATGAGATGTAGGCTTTCTTCTCTGATATAGGCAATGAGATTTAGGCAATGAGATTTAGGCATTGAGATG